TTTTTTTTTTTTTTTTTTTTTTTTTTTTTTTTTTTTTTTTCAGTTTACGATAACCAGGATCCCAATGACCATGGAAGGAACGTGGCTTGCCCAAAGAAGCCACAGCCCACAATGGCAGGCCCGGCCTCCACTCTCAGCTCAGTGCTTTCCTGCTTCACAGTGCTGCCTCCCAACATTCCAGCCGGGAATGAAGCTGGGCTCAGAGAGCCCACTGAGACTCCAGAGTCCTCAACCCACTTGAGGCTAGTCAGACCCACAGCATTCTAGTACATTCTCTCAAAGGACTTTCACTAATGTTCTGCAGAAGCTAGGGAAACTCTCAAGGTACCAAGACATCATTTGAGGGGCAGCACTAAAGGGAGGGATTCCAGTCTCTTCTCCCTTCTAATGTGAAGAAGCCATAAAGAGCTGACATTCCCTGTCAGAAGAGCCAGTTTATTCCTCACGTGATTAGTCAGGTCTTCCCTTCTCTTGGTCAACACCATGGCCACTTGGGCATAACCCAAGGATCTGCTTCACCCTATCCTCCAGGATGAATTTGAAGGACAATAGTAAGAGTGATAGCTGCATACACACACACACACACACACACACACACACACACACATACACACACACAGGCAGGGAAAGAGAGACTATATGCTGAGAGACAGAAGTCATGGTATATCAATGTACATTAACTGCTGCCCCACACAGACCCCATCCCCCTCCCTGCCCTGAGCTGCTTCCTCATGCATCAGACATAGAGCAGGACAATCATAGCCTAGAAAAACAGATCCCTCTCCTTGGCCAACAGACTGCCAGGGGTTAAGAGGGTTGACGGGTGCCTTTCAGAATCTGCATCTCTAGGGTCCTCCCAAGAGTGCCCCCCAGATCTTACCTGATGAGGTCAATAGGTTGAAATTTATAAAACACTCCATAGCGTGCCCATTCTTGATACAGCAGCTAAACAAGAAAAACAGGGAAACAGATAAGAGGTGCAGGGGGACAACTGTTCACCTGTTTGTCCACCCTAGCAAGTCAAAATTTTAGCACCCCAAACCACCCTAGCAAATCAAAATTGAATCCCCAAAGTTCAGCTTCTAGGAAAATTCTCACGAGATCCACCAGAGAGATATCCAAAGGCAGGAGGCTACAGAGGCTGACTTCCTCTTTGGCTATAGGAGGCTATAGAGGTGACCTTTATCACACTCTGGGGCAGTGCGTGACAATCATAACCCCACCTGCTTTATTCCCTTGCCTTGCTTCGTCCAGGAAAATGAGTCCTGGCTTGCTTTCATTCACTCATTTAACGTATTTATTGAACATCTACTATGTGCCAGATGCTGGATATAGCTATAAACCAAACAAAATCACTGTTGTCATGGAGCTTACACCCTGATGTGTGGAAACAAACAGAAACACACCAACATGTAAGATTTATAAATGCTTGGGGCACCTGGGTGGTTCAGTTGGTTAAGCATCTGACTCTTGGTTTCAGCTTGGGTCATGATCTCATGATTTGTGAGTTTGAGCCCTGTGTCGGGCTCTGTGCTGACAGCACAGATCCTGCTTGGGATTCTCTCTCTCTCCCTCTCTCTCTCTCTTTCTGCCTCTCCTCGCCTCCCCTGCTTGCACACATGCTCACTCTCTCGCTCTCTCTCTCAAAATAAATAAGTAAACTTTAAAAAAATAGATTTATAAATGGCTTCAGGAAAAGCAAATTGAGGCAAAGGAATAGAATACAAAGGGCAGCAGAGTGGAGTAGGATGCTATTTTAGATAGATGGCAAGGGAAGGCCTCTCTGAGGTGACCTCTGAGCTGAAGAAGTGAGGGAATGTGCCAGGCAGAAAAGTGCTCTCCTGTGCAAAGGCCCTGAGGACAGTGCATGCATCATATCCTAGGGAAAACAGGGAAGCCTGTTTGCACTTCCAGGGCAGTGTGACTGTGAGGCAAAAAATGAGAGATAATGTCAGAAAGTACTGAGGTGGCAGATCACTCATGGGCTTGTAGGCCACGCCCAAACCTTTGGACTTTGAAGGAAGCCAGGAGGGGAGATTTGCCGGAGTGGGGAGAAACAGTCTGCCTTGACTACAGACCTCTCACTCCGGCTGCTGTGTGGAGAAGAGACTAAGAGCTGGCACAGGAGTGGGGGGGGGGGTCTACCACAGCGGTCCAGAAGAGATCATGGTGGCCTTTGCCACAGAGGCAGTGGGGGAAGTAATGAGAAGTGGTTGATTCCACTTTATATTTTAAATGTAGAGTAAGATTGACTGTTAGATTGGATGTGGAATGAGAGATGCAGAACCTGGCCTGAGCTGCTGAGTGAATGGTGACTCCATGCACTATGGTGGGGAGACTGTGGGAAGAACCAGTCAGCAGGGCAGAACCAGTTCCGTTTGGGACGTGCTAATCCGAGCTGCCCTTCTGGAATCCACATGGGGCTACTGAGTAAGCAGCTGGACGTAAGCTTCTGGAGTTCAAAGGAGAGTCCATCTCCTTTACAAAGAAGATGTACGTTTGGGAGGTGTCAGGCCAGAGATGACTTATAAGGTCATTAAACTAAGGATCTAACCACCAAGGAAGAGGAAGTAGGTAAGGAAGAGGCGTGACATCAGGGCGCCAGTGCAGCAATGGTCAGAGAGCAAGGAGATGATGAACAGCACAGGAGACGGCAGAGCAGCCGGGAATGTGCTAGACGTGTGTGGTGTCCTGGAAACCAAGGGACAACTGGTTTCAAAATGAACAAAATGACCAGCTGTGCCAAACACTGCTGATGGGTCAAGTCAGGTAAGAATGGAGCAGTGACCTCCGAACTCGGTGACTGTAAGGTCACGCATGACCTTGACAAGAGGGGTTTCTGTGGAGCTGTGGGGGCAACACCTGAGTGCACCACATTCTAGAAGTTAAGGGAGGAAGTGAGGCACCAACACATCAAGCCATGCCGTCCCGTGACGTTTTCCCAGCAACGTTAGCAGAGCCAGCATGTGGGCAAAACCTAGGTGTCAATCCCAGCGGCAAACCACATTTTGGTTTCAAACACTTCGCCGGTGAGCTTCACAGCTCATCCGCCTGGAAATGAAGTGATCTGGTAATGAACCGTTATTAGACGTCATCTACATACCCAAGCTGAATAGATATTAGCGTGTAACTGAATTGTACATCTAGCATTGACAAGTCAAGCTAGACGTCAAGCATTGACAATACACTGGCCATCCTGTTAATGTTCTTTATTCTCCTTACACATCACACGTCCTTACACATGACACAGAATTCATAAGGAATTCTGCCAAGAAGACCCTGCTCTAACTAGGTATTTTAGATATCCAGTTGTACGTTAGGAAGCCATCCTTTTCACCTGAGAACCTTTAAAGACATGCTTTTTAAGTAAACTGACATAAGAAGTGGCATTCCTCCTTAATGGGTAAAGACTTCTATCATCATCATACCTCCCAACCACTACAGAACAGAACCCAAAACCACATGGACCCTGACAGAGCAGCCTTAGTCACCGCCACTTGCAGAGGAGGAAACCCACACACGAAAAGCGACGCAGCGCCATGACCAGCAGAGCAGGATGTGAATCCGTGAGTTTGGATGCCGCTCGCTCCGGGCAGGTGGCGTCTAACCTAATCTCACTGTTCCTATTACACCACCTCCTCCCCTTTGTCCGGGGAGCTACTACTGCCCTGGGTCTTTATTCCCTCTCATAGTGCAATCCCTGCATTCACCAGCACCTGGCTGTCATCATCTGTGGCCCAAAGGGAGGCCGATGTGCGTCAGGAGGTAAGAACAAGGACTCCCCTGAGGGCTGTGGGTCGTCACTGCCTGCGTCCCGGTTCTGACCTCCAGAGAAGATTCCTCTCCGAATCTGCCAAAACCTGAGCCTGAGAACATCCATCTGCTACTGCCCTGGAGGGAAAAACTAAAAACACTCCAAGAACCAGTATGGCACAGTTGGCTTGGGCCCAAACTGACAGCCAAGCTCACAAGCCCTGCCCCTGGTGGGATATCGAGCATGCTGCAAGAAATGTCTGGAGGTCCCTTTCTCAGCGTGGCACCCTCGGAGCACAAAGCTAGATTCAGTTTGCAAGGATGAGCCAAGAGAGCTGTGTGAGCCCCGTGCAGATGGGCAGGATGGACACAGAGGACATCACGGGGCAGCCCCTGCAATGGAGCTCCAGCTACCGGACACCAAGCCTGGGAAGTGATGCAACAGTGAGGGCCGAATGCCCACGTGGCTCTCTCCAGGCCGGCTCGAGCGCTGCAGACCCTTTGCCATCTCTACAAATGTTCACTCACACATACTTAGAGACCAAGTGAGTCTTACATACTAAAGCCCAGGTTACGGGGTCCCAGAGCAGACTGGCAGTCAGGGTGGAGGGAGACGTGCTCTGGAGTCTGCCACCTAGGGATTAGCGTGGTGGAGGAAAGTGCAGGAAGACATCCACAGTATCTTGTAACAATCCCTTTACGTGTGCAGAGTCTAGATCCTTCTAATGCAGCTTTTAGTAAATCCACTTTCTCCCTCAGAGCTACACCACGTCCTCTTCATGACCGGCCAAGCCTGCAAATAGATTCAGGAAGGTCCACAGCTCCCTCTCAATGGACAGTACCTTATTTCAGAGGCCCGGATGTCATTCCAAACACGTCGGCCTGACCCTAAACCTTTACGGCAGGAAGCAACGACCCACAGGGGCCACCCTGCCTGATGGATCAGGGCATTCAAGCAGCCCATGGGCTCCCTGGGGATCACATTTGACAGTGGGTCAGTTGGTTTTAGTATTTCATGAGACTGTAAAGGAACCCAACTGTTAAAACCATTTGCAATGCCAGAGAATGGCAAGATGCTTGAGACTCGAGGCCCTCTCGAGCTCCTCCGAGAGCCAGGCTTGCAACAGGAAGAAAGATGCCAGCTGCAGCCCACCGAAAGGTGATGATGGAACAGGGCAAACTCAATGGAAGAGAATGGAATTCTACTCCCAGATCCTGCAATGACCTGTTTGAATTTTTAGTGACTCACTTCAACTATCTCGGTCTTCTCCAGTAGCAAGATTAGTGCAGGAGGAGAAAAATCAATCCTCAAGTGACACCCAGGACAAAAGTACCTTTCTGGTCAGAAAAACAGACTGACTCTCTTCACACACCTTTTAGTGGGTCACTTTATAACCGTCCACTAGAGAAAACAATCATCTGCAAAAGCTGGAAAATACAAGACCCAGGGTTTAAAAACTGCTAAGAAGAATCACATTCCAGTGATGTACCTTAGGCACCCCTGTAAGTGGGTGAGGAAGCTGCGGGAGCTGGCAGGGCTAAGGTGGCCCTCAGAAGATGGTTATGGTCACTTCCCTGGGATGCCTGGGAAAACCAGGCAGGTCCAGCTAATGTGGAATTAGGTGGCTACTGGCAGACAGGGGAGACCCATCCACATCCATGCTGCTCCCTCTTCCTGCTGCCCTGCTTTCTAGAAAGGTGTGAAATCCGGGATGCCTGGGTGGCTCAGTTAAACATCCAACTCTAGGTTTTGGCTCAGGTCATGATTTCATGGTTTGTGAGTTTGAGCCCCAAGTCGGGCTCTGGGCTGACAGTGTGGAGCCTGCTTGGGATTCTCTCTCTCTCTCTCTCTCTCTCTCTCTCTCTCTCTCTGCCCCTCCCCAGCTTGCTCTCTAAGTAAATAAATAAAAACTTTAAAAAAAGGAAAAAAAGGTGGGAAACCCCTGTTCTTCAGAGGCAGGCTGCGTCTTGGTAATTAGCCTCCAGGAACAGGGAGAGAGACTTCCAGCCCCTGGCTGGGGCTGAGTCATCGAAACTGCACAACTGCACAAGGCAAGCTGGAAGGGAAGAAGACTGCATTCTCAGGGGCCTCTGGTCTTTCCTGGGATCTGCCCATGAGGAGCCTGGGCCTCGAGGAGATCATGGGAACAGGCACAAATTGCAGGGAGGAGTAAAAGAGAACATCTAGATACCGGCAGGATGGGCAGCTTGGGGTGCCCTTGCAAATCACCTCTAAAGGCCCCCAGAGGGGTGACCCCACTGCAGTGCCTAACCCCTCACACCCCCCAGCAACAGATGCAAGGGTTCTCCCTGGCACCCAACCAAAACCCTTCCTGCAGCTCTCTCCAAGAACACTAGACTATTATAACGCAATTAAAACGAATCAATATGCTGCACGTATTCAGAGGTTTGGACTCTTTCTTCCTTAGGATACTTTTAGGCCCCACTCATACAGTACTGAAACTGTGGGAACAAACCCAGCACAGCGCTGAGAATTCCCGCTGCCATACAACAAGACCCTGTGTACCTGGCTGTAAAGCACAGGCTGCGATTTGGACGCCAGGGTTTTAGTCCTGACTCGACAATCATTTATGGCCATTGGAACCATCTCCTCACCTTGCTGGGTATCAGTTTCCCAACCCAAATGGACAGAAAAAAAGCGTCCCCTCTCCCACGGATTCCCTTATCCCAACCCCAGCAAAGCCAATATCCCTAACCATGACCGTGGCAGAGGAAAATAAGGACTGGCCAGCAAACCCAAGGCAAAGCCACAAGAAAGGGGCCTCTTGTCTTTTGAAGACAGCTGTCTACCTTTGACATCCACTGTGGGAATTAACCACCAAGGTGCGGTTCCATCCGACCTGGTCTCTCCCTGCCTCCCAGATTCTACCCATTCTGCCGGTTGGGCTGTGCACTGGGAATAATTATGTTGGCCTACCCAAAAGATTCCTGAAAGGAAAAATTTTTGTTGTGTCGTGTTGTTAATGCTAACATAACATCATCCCAAAGAAGAACAGACATATATTTTAGATAGTCTACAATTTGCTCCCCTCTGCCTCTGTGCAGGTAACAGAGGTCTGGCTGATTTCTGCCAGGAGTTGCTGTGTGTTCCCAGTCTCTGGAATGTTCCTGTAGAGTGCTCCACCTTGACCGGTTGGGGTCACCACCCACTCAGCAGGAGGATCCTTAGGTGGGCAGCAGTGGCGAGCACTCTTTAAAGGGGAGGAAGGTGAAATGAGAAAGCGGGAGGGCAGAAAACGGTTGGGGTGAACTAGGTGAGACAGGGGAGAAATGCTTCCTCCTTTTCCTTTAACTCTGATCCGGGACTTTTCAGGAAATTAAACACCGAGACTATTAGCATCAGATAGAAAACAGATGAGGTTAAGACATCGCAATACTACAGCAGATTCCCTGGGCAGGCAGAGAGGGGACATGTGTAAGCAATCACAGCAGTATTTCTGGAAAAGACCTTTTATGTTTTTAATACTTAACACTTCATAACAGGGACTAATAGGCAGGATAAAAAGAAGGCTGCTCAAAAGGCAACTTGGGGGATGAATAATTTTCCAGACAACAGAGCTGGGGGGAGGGAAACTCCTCGGGCTTCAATTCCTCAGCCCTCCCACCTCTGCCCTCCCTCCTCTGCTCACCAGAGTTGCTGATGGTTGGGGGAAGCTGGGAGGGAGGATGGCATGAAGGGGTTGACAGCCAGATGGGGCAGTCCCCACTAAAGAGGCGGGTGATTGTTAGAGCGCCGCACCATGGCGAGGGAGGGTGGCACACCCACACAGAAGAACCGGATCTGGGTGGAGAGCCTGGAGAGAGGGGTAGGGGCAGGTACCGTCTGTGATTGGCGCAGAAGGGGTCCTTCCAAAGGGACCTTTTCCTTCCCCTAACTATAACCTCTGATTCCTAGCTGCCCGGAATATACAGCATGACTGATCCTCCTTCTCCCTCACATCTCTCATCTCTAACTTGGGAATGGCTATTCCCCACTTGTCTGCCTAGAGAATAAGAAGAATAAGTTAAAGATGACACCCCCTCCCCCAAAAGAAAACAGCCATGATGGCACGGATAGTAACACACTTATGCAGCAGGGACATTGGATTGGAGAGTCAGAGGTGTTCCAAGCCTCCTCCCTTTAATTGTGGCAGTGTCATCATGGGCAAGGTGCTCACTCTCTCTGGGTCTCAGTTTTCCCACCTATAAATTAAGGAATTTGGATGCCCTTTCATCATCGGAGGTGGGACAATGCTTCTGGGCGGGACTTCTGGATAGACTTCAGGATGGTGAGCACTGCGGGCTGTCCAAGCACTAAATGCCAGTGTGAGCACCCCATACACACAGTCATGTCAATGACCAGAAATGGCCCTCACGTTTCCAACGCCTGGAGGGTAGGGGGCTGTGGAAGAGCTGCTGAAAAATATTTAATCAGGTAAGCAGGACATTTGGGGCCAGCCCCACACCCACCCACAGTCTCCTGTGCCCAAGCACTCAGTGTGGCCCAGGCCAGCTTACCTTTCTGTCATTCGTGTCATCCCCTGGGCTGTCATATTCACCCTGTAAGACAGGAGGGATGGCTGCATCAAGCCAAGGGAACTATCAAAAACAGAGAAAGGATTTTCTTTTCCATCTTCTAGCGTCACCCCTTTCTGTCATTCCCTTTGGGGGAAAGTCAAAAGCCTGACACGGTAAGGAGCCAATGTTCAGTTTTGTTAGTCATCAACATTTGCCATGTTTCTTCTGGACAGCTTCTCGCACAAAGATGCTCCCCTCCTAGGCGTCTGCCATCAGCCTGTGCCTCCTCGGAGCAAACACAATGGCAGAGGCCGTGGCCAGCAAACGGTGTGAACTCGCCCTGCGCCAGGGCACAGCACCCCCTGTCCACAAGCGGCAAAACCTAACAGCATATTTGCACACAGCCAAGGTATGGGGGTGGGAGACTGCCATCTGGAAACTCCTTCGGGTACTCAGAGGCCCCACCTCCGCAGTCTCATTGGGCATGACTCTGTGACCCGTGGGAAAGAAGTGACCGGTCAAGGAGTAGTGCAGTTGTGAGGGCACCTAGGTCAGGGGCCAGGCAAGTTCTTCACAAAGCGTCTCGAAGAAATGGCATCGCTCTGTATCGTGGGATGTTTATAACATGACTCTCAGTCAAGGAAAGCTTTACTTACAAGTCCGTCTGTTTTCTCTACTGAACCAAACAACAGCAAAATCAATTTTGAGAGATTGGCTTCAACATTGTTAAATATGTTTTTTTTTTTTAAACCTGATACTTAATATATATTTGCCTATTATATATATGTATATAGGATGAGGAATTTCACACCCACACAAAACAATCACACACAAAATATCACCTTCAGACTTTTTCAGGGTCTGACCGCCCAGGATGTGTGTTACCTGGGCCTTCGACTCTCCTTCCACCGTCACCCACCCACCTTCACCACCACCCCCTCCCATCATACACTGGCATGCCACGTCTGCCTTCCCAAAACCACCACAGGGCACGTGGGGAACGCTCCCACCAAAGCCGGCTCATCCCGCCATTGGACAATACCCGGAGAGGCAGTTGTGGGGATTACTGTCCACCCCAAGGAGGCCAGATTCGGCCCAGGTGTCTGAGCGGCGTGACTCCCTCACGCCTCGCCTGCTGTGTACTCGGCCACCGTGTCCCCTGCGTTGCACAGCCGTTTGCAGACTGCGCGGAAAGGATACTTACGTCATGAAGAGGGTAGGCAGCCTCATAGATGTTGTTGGCGATCAGAGAGTTAATGCCTGTGGAAGAAAGGAAGGTGAAAATGGCAACTGTAGGGCAGGAGTTTCTCGACCTCACCTCTGTCTGTTGGAAACAGGCACTGCGTGCTCCTCTGTCACCCCTCAATCTACAAGTTTCTGTGGAGCTTTAGTTCTTAGCCTAAGGACAATATTTTTACTTCCCAAAAACAAAGTTATGTTTCAGTATCAAATATACTCTCTCAAACCTCATGCTTCCCCTTTTCTCCTGCCCCCCGACCACCGCAAAGTCTCCGCCACCACCATCAGGTGACACTACCTGTGTTCAGTGACAGCACAGGAGTGACTATGGATTACTGTCATATGATCAGGAAAAGTATATGTCATAGCATCCCACAGCACGTTATCAGAACTCATTTCTGGTGCCTTCCCATTCCGTCCCAGAGCAGTGCTGGTCTGCCTCCCGGAGGTAGAGGGCCGTAGAGCAGTGGTTCTCAAAGTGTGGTCTGGGGAACCCTGGGGGTCCCCACGACCTTTTCAGGGTGCTCCGAAGGTCAAAACTAATTTTATAATAGCACTAGGACATTTTTTGCTTTTTCCCTCCTATTCTCTCATGAGTGTACAGTGGGATTTTGTGACATGGGGTGGCATCATCCTCCTGACAGCAAATGGAATGTGTGTTTGTGTACCCTTGGGCTTTAAAAATTTCCTCAGTTTTGGGGTGCCCGGGTGGCTCCGTCGGTTAAGCGTCCGACTTCAGCTGAGGTCATGATCTTAGAGTGTGTGAGTTCGAGCCCTGCATCAGGCTCTGTGCTGACAGCCCAGAGCCTAGAGCCTACTTTGGATTCTGTGTCTCCCTCTCTCTTTGCCTCTCCCTCACTCGCTCTGTCTCAAACATAAACATTAAAAATTGTTTTTTAATTTCTCAGTTTTAATTTCTAATACAATAAATATTGACTGATATAAGCCACCAAAACAAAAGCCCTTTGGATGCTCTCAATAATTTTTAAAAAGTGTAATGGTTTCCTGAGATCACAAAGTTTGAGAACCACACACGAGATTCACTTTTTAATCCCGACAGTATTTCACACCACATGCACCTAGCAGACCCTACGAAATATATGCTAAATGAGTCAATGACTCTGTCCCTATAACTCCGGTATAGTCACAACAGAGAACTTTCTGCTCAGGACAAAGGCACTGTTATTTACTTGTTTCATTCATGGTTTTATTCAGAGACTATAAAATGGTCTGTATGTTCTGACTCAGGATAGTCTGTCCTGGGTCACTGGCTCCCATATGGGAGACATTATATCCCACCAACCCTAAGTACCGACGACCCTACCATGCGAGGATGCACGTGTAATCACGGAGGGGGAGAAGGAGGGGTAAGCTCTGGTTCATGGGGATTTCCCTTGTCTCAAACACACATTCTGCTCTGAACCATTCTTTCCAGAGAGACTACAGACAGTTGTGAGATGAGAAGAAAATTGGTTTGGGAGGAAAACACGTATCATGTGCAAATGCTAAGTAATGTGCATTTGCACGGCTCTGGATAAATGACAAGGATGGATAACAAATCTAGACAACATTTTCCACCTCCCCTTCCCAAGCGATACCCCACCCACATACTGAGAGACCACAGAGGCTCTCAAACAATCCTCTCTCCTCATCGGCCTCCTCTTCTTCAAACCCTGCCCCTATTCGCCTCATTTTTAGGGCCCTGGAATCCAGAAGGACCAGCCATAGGCCCCACGTAGAAGCAGAGGCCCTCGGGAGACTGCAGGGGGCGCTCTGGGAAGCGACCACTCCTGCAGTGAGTTGAGAGCCGCCGCATCGCCAAAGGACCAGTCCTCTCCTGATTTTAAGTTTCCTCCTTGGCATGAACATAAACCACCCGAAATAACTTTGGGGGCTTGGGGGGGAATAGACAGTGGGTAAAAGGGAGTGTGGACGGGAGGGGTGCCCGGGGGGTGCTGAATGAGCTGCAGATCTGTCTTACTCACAAGACTACAATTTCACTCTGAGCATCATTAATCAGTTCAAGAGCCATAACCACAGCAATGTGAAGCCACCCTACAATAATCAAGGGGAGGAGTCCCAAGTGAGGAGGGGGGTGGGGGATGTTCCAAAGCTACAAAAGGGCTGTCCACATGGATAGAGGCTGAAGCATCACAGGCAGGTGGAGCTCTAAACTAGACCGCACCCTGTGCACTACCCCCACCCAATCAATCCCTGCACTCACACCCATGGTAACCACAGCAGCAACATACACCCTGAAGACAGCCCCCGGCCTGCCTGGAAAAAGTTAAACAGGTGTTGAAATCTCTGCTGTGCTGGGCACTGAGCACAGCAGCCGAGTGTCTGACAGCATTAAGCTGACCACTTGGACTCAGGGGTCCTGCTGCCAGATCCTCAGGAGGATCTAAATCACTGGAGGTCTCAAATAAAGCTTCCCTTGCACCACGTGCCTGGAACAGGCAGCTCACTTCACTTGTGGGATGTTGTCTGCCCCTTGTTGGGTGTCTCCTGAAGGCTTACAAGGTACCCAAGGTCAGAGAGCATTCTCCCCTCACCTGTATCTCTCATGGCACCTAGTACACTGCTGGGAACACAGAAGGGATAATGGTGGGTAAGAGTAACCAGCCCCATGGCTACACGTATCGCAGTATCTCTTCCCATTTATCACAGGCACAATCTTCTTCACTACTCCAATTTTCTATGGCAAACTATGCTGATGAAGAACCTTTAAACTCTAGTCAATTAGTCCATTTCCTAGAGAGGAAACCCAACCAATGGTTCTTTGTCTTGGGGCCAATACAATTCAGTTCATCACATCGGAGTTGTCCCAACCCAGATAACCAGAGCCCCAAAATGCTGTACATGATGTGTCTCTGTCCTCCAGGGCTGTGTACCTCCTTTTTCCAGAGGGCATCAGACGGGCGATTCCAACCAGTGGCTGCTACAGAGGGAGGCAACAGCACATAAAAGAAGAAGAATGGGGAGGGTGGGGGAGGCAAGTTGAAAATAACTATTCAGCCACAACTTCACCCAAGAATGGGAACTGCTTTGGCCTCTTGGGTCACCCACAGACTTCAGAAACCAAGATCCTACCCCCAAACAAGCATGGAAATCAGTTTGAAAGAAGAAGAAAACAATCAAACGTTTTTTTTAAAAAGGAGTCTCTGCTTTGAAAACTGAAATTCTGAATTTTTTCCTCTCTTTTCAGCAAAAATGAGCTAATTGGTTCCATCACGCACCATTCCATCTGGCCATAATGGCAAAGCTTTCTTCTTCAGGATCACATCTAGTCTTTCCTCTCTGCTCTAGACCCAGGGAGACAGAGAAAAGAGAGACCTAACCACTCATCCCACTGCCCCCAGAAGCAGGGCCAGCAAGAAGGAGAAAGCACAGAGGACACTGTCCTTTCCCTCTCCCCACAAAGAGAAGCAGTGTCTCGGCTCAAACACAGCACAGCTCACTAGGGACCCCCTCACTGATCCGTACGGTCCCTTTGAGTCACTAGGTTCTTCATATTTCTTGTTTTTAGAACTATGATCCCTAAAGGAAAGGGCTCATGCTTCCCCTCTGCCCAACGCCAACCACAGCTCTGCACAGACTGACCCGGCCAGGCCTGGCATCGCTGTCCCTTGGCATCATCCAGCCAGAGGGTCAGGGCCAAGGAACAAAGCAGGGTAGGCTCAGGCTCCAGGACTGGTACCTAAAACACACACTTGGAACACAAAACCCGAGGCCTAGCATTTAGCTTCCAGGACATCTCTGGCTTCCCGGACACAAAGGATCAACCAAAGCACAGTTTATGGTAGGCCTCCCAAAGAGAGCCTCATTAAATCTGTGAGTGCCGCTGGGTGATGGGGACTGCGGCTCTATTCCCTCCAGGCCAAACTCAAAGAAAACTTTCATCCAGCGGGACAGGTACTTAGAGGGATGGGGCTGAACTCTTGAAAACCCATTTGGTTTTGATTCCCCCCAGAACAGGGACCAGTCCGCCCGGCATCTGCTTTCATCCCCCTACTCCAGCCGGACGTAAATCTAAACCAGAGGCCCCAGACGGTGCATTTAACAGAGACTATATTTACCCATCACCAAATTGTCTTGACGTGTGCTTAATTACTTAAATGCCTTTAATCCCAAGCCTTTTCTTCTAACAAAATATAAACCAGTTCAGCTGGATGAATGATAAACCAGATGTTTACAACACACAACACAGTCTGGCTTTGGTCAAAATAATTAAGACATCGTCTCCTGAGTGGAGAGGAGAGAGTCCCAAAGCGTACATTTGTTGAAATGCTCTGACACCAAAATGTCTATGAAAATGTAGTCCCATCAATCTGTAATTTTCTGTCCAAGAAAAGGCAGCAACAACTTCCATACGAAAGGAGTAGAAAAGGTGTCTCTCTCTCCCTCTGACATGGTCAAGGGGGCTTGTGACTCTCTCCACAGTAAAGTGTGCTTTACAAGGCATATAGCCAACAATACTGCAGTAATGCTGTATGGTGACAGAGGGCAACTACACTTATCATGGTAAGCACTGGACCACGTGCACAACTGTTGAATCATGATGTTGTACACCTGAAACTAATAGAACGCTGTATGTTAATGACACTTCAATTTTTTAAAAAAGGCATTCCATGAAAGGGTGAATTTGCAGAGCCCTGGCAGGTGACCTTACATGATGTTGATTAAGGAGGCATCGTGGTGCTAAGGAGGCACCGCCAAGTTTCGCCAGGCCAAACCCACTCACACTACCACCACCACGCAGAACCCAAACTCATGAATATATTCGGTCTCGGAACACTGTGCACATTCGTCCATAATCCCTTCACTTCCAGGGGTGAATAAGAGAGAAAGAAGGTTACAGAAGGCACAGAAGAAATCCCCACAAATATAAATTAGACCATCACCAAATGCCAATCCACCCATACTTTTTTAAGGTCAGTAACCCTTTCTTTACCTTATTATACTTGTTTTTACCCTCCTGCCCATCCTTCCGCCACAGGACAAAAAAGGAAAAAAAGAAA